ATGTATATTTATATTTATTCACAGCGTAAACGAAATAAAATCCAGTTTTTCGAGCTAATTTGCTTTCCAAATGATCAATGTTGTTAAAATTGAAAGATGAAATTTGTGGATATAAATTTTTTCAAAAATTCTGGAAATTCCAGTACTTTTCCAGATGGGTAGAAAAAGTTGTTGATGCTCCAGATATTTTCTTGTCGAATGTATTTACCGAAGTTATTCTAATGCGGGAAAAAGAAATCAAGGATGCATGTACAGACACAATTGGAAAGGCTTTAGAAGATGATCCGTCTGGCTCTCAAACACTGAAAATGATTTTAGAATTCAAATCAGTCAGTTAATATATATTCCTTTATCTCTGTTTTTTATCAGTTTTTCGAAAATTTTTGCAAAACACAGCATTTGTTCAAAAAAACTATCATTTCTAAGTGGAAATGATAGTTACAATATGTAATCTAGAATAAATTTTCAGTGACTGCTAACACTTTTGGCAACTCGGATAAATGCTTTATAAGTTATTAGTTATATATTGATAAAATGTCTATATTGTTGGATTTCGATGTATGTAATTCAGTATTGGTTTGAATTCCAGGTGATGTCGCAGTATATGTCACGTCCCGATGATAACAAATGCATAGCAAAATGCATTGCAAAATTTGGTGAACTTCTTCTGTTTTCTACTGTCGATGAATATACAAAGCTGGCGACATCATTCCTCGCCAACTGTTCAAATATTTCACTAGTTTGTTACTGACCAATTACTTATAAAATTGGGGAAAGATGTCTTTCTGACTTCAGTCAAAAAATATTTCTGTCACTTTCTGCTCAATGAGTTCATCCTAAAACGTGTTCCAGATCCGAAGATTGACAATACCCAATTAAAACTGCAATGATAAATTAATTTTCAGGATTCCATACACACATTTATATGCTTGGAGCAACTTTCTAATAAACTATCACAACTCATCGAAGAAAGTAATTATTTGATGCAAATGGCTAAAGAAACATTTGACAATATTGCAATTATTTTTTTGGTTCCGGCATATCGGGTTAGTATGTATGAATCCAATGCTGTGCGGTTGCTTAGTTCGTGTGGTATATGTATGTGACATGGTTTGTAATGTAAATGACTCTTTTTATGTGCATATAAATAATCTATTTGAAATTTATTATATATTTGAATTATTTGAAGATGATTGATGAGCGGAATTTTGTCCTTGCACTACTACAATAATCGTTACAGACGATGTATGAAAATATAATATCAGTGCTGGATAAATTCTATAAAACGAATATGAATAGAAATGGTGTTAAAGACGAAGATGTTTTGCGTTTAGTGAGCATATCAGGTTTGTGTTTATAGTTTTGCTTCTGATGAATATGTCGTGTTTGCATTATTATGGCGGCCTAATTGATTTTTTTTATTTAACTGGTTTTGCTTTATTTTTCCCGTAAATTCTCGAAATATCTTGTTATGTAAAAAAGGAATCTTTTCATTTCTACATTACCGAAATCTTAGAATTGCTTTTGCAGGACAGCTTTTGATATGGGTTGATAATGATAAGCAACGACTGAAAGATATGTTCGAACAATTAGGAGTAGCTGAGACAGATCCTACTATCAGCAGATTGTCAGAGAAGTTATTCAACGAAATTTCAAATTTTCAAAACAAATCATCTGGTTTATAACTTTTTCGTAATTGTGATAAGCCTGAGTTTTAGATAAATCTAATTTGCATAAGAAATAGCAACTTAATTTTTCCAAAGGAAACAGAATACTTCAAAGCAAGTGTGTGTACGCGTGTGTGTGTGTGTGTGTATGTGTGTGTATGTGTGTGTGCTGAGTCTCATCCATAGATATATGAATTAAAACAGTAATAATCAGTGATGATTGAAATATAATTCGGATTTGGTAATAATTAAGTTATAATCGAGTTTAAGCAAAATTATAACATTTTTGATTTTGCAACCTGTTGAGTTTATTTGCAGCGAAAGGAGAATGTGATATCAGTTTGGTAAAGGCGCGTGGGGAAGTCCGGAAAATGAACAAACGATTTGTTGCTCGTGCTATTGAAGTGCTTTCACATACTCTGGTCATAGATATGGAAAGTGGTTTACGAAGCATTGTATGTTAACTCTTTGTTACTTCAGGCTTTCGAATTATTCCGGCTGCGTAGATTACATTTTCTATTGCAACCAATAATGAAAATAGGGTTAATAATTTTCATCTATGAATTAAATAACTTTGTCCGAATTTCAAAACTTGAATATTTCGTGAAATTTCGTCATTTCAGCTATTATTTCTATTTTTTATTGACTATGATTTGTGGATTGTTTTGTTGTAGATAGCAGATAAAAGTACTGAGAATATGAAAATGCAAGAAAGCACAAAAGTACCATCGTTTGGAACTTCACCCAACGAATTTATAACTGCAACTGGTGTTGCACTTCTTTCCTTGGCTCATCAATTATCCGCTTATTCTCAAGATAGTAATATGGCTTCAGCTATTATGTTTGCTGCAAAATTAGATACTATAGGTGGGTCATTTAAGGAAATTATAGTAGTTGAAATATATGGATAAGACAGTAAAGATGATAAAGGAATTCTTTTGTCTTGGAATTCTTTATATCATTTTAATTAAATTACAATATAGATTAAATAGTTTGATGGAACATTTTTTGTTACAATACATATTTAATTATTATGAATGAGTTGTTAAGTGAAGTATTTCTTCTAAAAAAAGCTCAAAATGTGAATCGATATACTATTATTTTTTTACTGACAAACTGCATTTTGTAGCGTTTTCGGGATGTTCATGAAACTTTCATCTGATGTACATCTATCTGTATCAGTTAGTTATTTTCATTATCGCAGCGGATGTCTACATAAGTTTTCATAAGAAAGCCTTGACTGCTAGCTTATAAAAAAATTGCGCTAATCTTAACTTTTTTTTGAAACTTTATTTGCTGCTTTCTCAGATGATATTCCATCGTGGTGGGTTGGTAAATGTGCAATTGCTGTGCAGGAATGTTTTGTTGATACAGTTGGTGATATTGCGGGATATTCGAGTTCGCTATGCCGACAACTTTCAGTTGATTACAGTAAATGACTTTTTGCTTTTATTTAGAATTTCATTTCTGTAATAAGCTTCAATAAGTTTTTATATATGTAATGTCATCTGGTAGGGTGCAATGACTATGAAACTGAAAAAAATGAGAAGAGATCAAAATACGTTCAGCAGGCGGTTTCCAATTATTTTATTATCCGATCATCATTCCTAGTCAATGAGATTAAGCTGCTATCAGGAAAACTTTGTAAATGATAAAAGAATTTTCGTCGAATTTCCAAGTTCATCACATCTTCATATTTTTCGGCGTCTTCGAAAATTATATGAGATATGGTATAGTTTACAGTGTGCCAATTCCTCCAAGAAATTTTTTATATTTCTAAGAGGAAAATTTGGGACCGTCTACGTCCATGAACAGATATGTAATAGTGCCCTTTTTTTATACATCTCAAGTAAGCTGTGGGAAAAATCCAATCCACTGGATGAAAAAGAAAATGAAATAGGCTAATGTGTAAAAGCATGCGAAATTTTCAATCTGGTAGTTTGGAATAATAATAGAAGCCTTGCTGTCATAATCAAAGTTTCACTTTACAGCATATTTGGCTGATGTATTCGAGGATCTGGGAACGATGAAGATATCAGATTTTGTTAATATGCAACAGATGTTCTTGAATGCCGGATATCTTGAATCATAGGGTTTCAATTATTTTATTAAGTTATTGATTATTCATTTTATATCAAGACGTTGCCAAGGATATAGCCATCTAAATATTTTCACAGTCCTATAATGTCCAAAAAAATCTATAATGATTTCTTTTCTTCTAATTTGTTACACTGCATGGTTGATTGATAAATGTACAGCTGCTGTCAACAATAATATCTTGATATTATCAGTAAGTTATATCTGGTCGATAGATGCGAAATATGTTTTGCTATGTTGTGTTGTTTATCCTGGCAACTATAATGACATTTCGGAACATACTTAATCTTCTAACAATAGAATATGGAAGGATGAATAATGCTGCTAACTAGGATTTACACTGACTTTAATGTAAAAGTATTATTGCCGCCATATTAAGGAATCGATGGTGAACATATTTTCCACGAATTAAGTCTCTCTCTTATACTTAATATTTCAATATGATAAGCGAAAACAGCAGAAATTATCACATTGATGAGTAATCCGATATGAAACAATTTAGGAAGCTTTTTCTCTTTCTCTCTCTTGTTCTATTATGATTTCAAAAATCTCATCTTTAAAAAAAATTTTTTTTTCAAACTTAACTTTTTGTTTGTGGAAAAAAATTGAAGTTCGATTTTGATCTCAATTATAAAGCATTTTTATCAAATCTTTACACATCTCCTACTTCATCCGTCCGTTATTTCCGATTCAAGAATTTATTTGTCATTTTATATTATTATTTCATGTTTGGAATTTATTTGTTATTGATTTTATTTATCACTTTTTCATATTTTTTGTTGGGAATGGATTCTAAATTGAATAAAACGAAAAATTCTTCTTAGCTTGATTTTTGCTAATTGTTGTACCGACAAATTCTATACGAGTTTATTGCACGAAGGTTTCAATTTTTTAAGATTTAAACATAAAATTTACTCTTGTAAAACTGTAAGTTTACTCTAGTAATCAAATTTTTAAGAGATTATTATATAATCAACTGAGTTTTTCGAAGTTCTTAAAGTATATCTATGGACTTAGGGAGGTTTATTATTGCTGAAGGTAAATTTAAGCTATATGGTATTGATTGCAAATGACCTTTACTAGGAATACAATAACTGTTATAGTGATATCAAAATCTAAAATGAATCTTAACGTCAGTTAAACTAAAGTTAAATATGGCGCGGTTTTCTTCGCGCCGTGCATCAAAAATAGGGAAGCTTCGTTTATTCATTCCATTATTGGTGATTAGGATTTGAATGACATTGTAACATTACTGGAGGGATGGGTCAATAGGTATTGAGACTAATCCTTAAGGCAATTAGAATTTCCATTTCTGAATTTATGAAATTGTGAGGAATTGATAAGTTTATTAAAATAGTCTTAATCTTATCCATATCAACAACATATACGACTATGCAATATGTATGCACAAGATAAATGATATCATTTAACCTCATTAGCGCTAAATTACTGTCTTTTCTTGTACTTTATATTTTTATACTTCCCTCTTTATACCATCTCGTCTCCTTTCACTTGTTCACAAATGCATGTTCATCACAAGTACATATATATAATTTACCCTTCTCGAAGTTTATCTGTATATATTATTGTTAAAATTGAAAAAGATTTTCAATTTTAACAATTAACATTTAATCTTTGTTGACATTCTTTAACCGAACAAACAATTCTAACATGTTTTAGATAAGATTGAAAGAGAACTGATAACATAAACTCCAAACTTTTGTCACGACAACTTTTACGATTTGGACCAATCAAAGATACGTAGGAGTGCAAGTGAGGGATGGGTAAGCGTGGGATAAATAATATAATGGCGATGATGATGATAATGATGACGACGATGATGATTGTGTTGGTCCAATAAATGTAACACGGTCGTTGGTCGATTGGTGGGGTCCACTTTTCATATTGATTTCCACGGTGGTTGAATATAATGCGCATAGAGATATGTATAGGCAGACAAACACGCACACATGCACACACATACACACCACACATACCACACATACACACCACACATACACACCACACATACACA